TAACCTTTCTTTCTACAATTGAAGAAGAAAAAGATGAATTTATTTATAGGACTGTTTGCTTATGAAAAAAGTATTGAGGGAACTACTACATTAAAGAAGAAAAAGGATTTTCTTCTATTAGTTTTGCATATTATCTTCTGGCTAATTTTTTTTTTTTTTTGGACAAGTGTCCTGTGATTCCATATTAATGCTCTTTGTCCCACACTGATAAGCACCCCCATATGCTGAAGAGCTCTGTCATGGTGCCATGTTCTTAAGGAAAAGACAGGATCTCTGGAGACCACAGCTCAGAAGTGCCCTTTGGGTATGAGCAGTGATTCCCCAGACTTAGTCTGGATGGGATGACTGTTTAATGATTCATTAGGCTCTCACTAAACAATATTTGGAAGTTTTGCTGTTCCATTTACCAGTACAAAAAACATTACTACATTCTTGCTCTTCCTTCACTCTCCTTTCCTCTTGCATCTTAATCCTGTTTAAGTCCTGGGCTCTGAGCATAAAAAATAGATTCATGTGTATTTGCAGAGTTCCAGAATATCACAAGCACATTTTCTGTTTTGACTTAGGTCTGGTGTAATATAAAAAAAACTATAATAACATTAGCTTGCAGCTCCTTCTTTCAAGCATCGGATAGGTGTGTTCTTTCATCCTCCATGGGCAGTTATCATCAATTTATAATTAGGCTTAGCTACTTCACTGTAGGATTCCATGTAGTTTTTCTGCTGGCATGTAAATAATACTCTTGTAATACTCTCAGAAACTACATCCTTCTCTCTCTGAAGTAGTTCATTAATGTATTACTTTCATGTTTTTTAAGATAGCCCAATTCTACACTCTTATGCTCAGAAGCTGTTGGATTCTCCTAAAGCAGAGACTTGAGGGCAGCATAACTGTAACATGAAAGTCTAACCCTTAAATGCTGGAGTCAAGTGCAAAGTTACACCCTTGTAGGCAAAGTTTTCTCCAGAATTACTTGGAAGTCAATATGGCATTTGTCATTAACGCTGTTAATTGGAGAGGGAGGCAAGCACTCTTCCCACAGTTTCCAGCACTCGTACTTGGGTGCACCTAAGAGTTGAGGCAGCAGTGCTGCTTGTGAGGATAAAAAGCATTTCTAAGCATTAACTGCATTTCTTCCGCTGTTTGAATGAAATATGCTAAAATACTCTAATATAGTGACAGTAGAGTAATATACACCATAGGTAAATGGTAATAAGATTTGGGCAAGAGGGAAAGACACTGTGCTCTATCATGTGAGAATCCCAGGCATGCCTTCAGGATCAGGTAGAACCTGCTCTCCATCTTTGCTCACTGTGTGTCTGCTTGCAGTGATTGTTTTAGGATATTATTCTGAAAACCTTTTTCTATTTCCAATACACATTCATTTGCATTCACATGGGATAATACTCTGCAGTTGTTACTAACTAGATGCTGAATAGCCTCTTCCAAATAGAGGTATTGCTCAACAGGAGCAGAGGAATTTGAATGAAAACCCATAGTTACCCAGTGGGAATGAGGAATCATTTCTAATCTTCTCTCTGCAATTTCTATAGGTCATTGAAACACATGGGGTCTTATATGAATCCTCCATTATCTGTGGAGGAAAAATCCTTGCAACTTTACAATAATTGTGCTATTCTGCAAGGAGAACTGTGAAACCATGGCTATATTTTTAGGCTCTTTAGCCAAACATTTTTTTTCTGTCTTGACCTGGGTCTGCTTTGTGTTTAATTTGGAAATCTTTCCAACTCAAAACACATGGGAGTACATCTCTAGTGTGAGGCAACTCAGTAGAGAAATACCACATCACCTCCACATAAGAGCTTTTGGATATGCTATTATGCTTTGCAGACAATCCTTAAGCTGTGCCAATTGTATCATGGTGCCTGCGTGTTACAAAAATTGTGCATATTAAAACTGAGATGGCCATTAAAAGATGTCTGTGCTAGGGAAAGGCCAAGGTAAGGTCTGCTAGAAGTTTGTGCTGACTAAACATCCTTGCTTTAAATCTTCACTCACAGTAAGAGGGTGTGAAAGGGCCATTCCAGAAATACAGCCTCTGATCTCTGCCTACAGACAGGGAGGTAGAGGTTAAACCCCAACTTGTCAAGTCCTTTTTAAGAATCATTAATATACTAATCCCATTGAGCAGTCTGCTATGGTTGGAGACACAAAGTGATCCCCAGACATGAGAAAAAGCCCTGATAACTGCCCAGGGCTGCACTCAAAAGTTCATGTACAACAGCAGGGCTCAGTTAAATCCTCAGTTACTGTGAATGCCCTGAAAATCTGGCATTTCCAGCTATCAGACATGCAAGTTAGGGGCTCTGCAATTTTGCAGACTGCTGTTTTGCAAATCAGGCTCTACAAGGCTAGAAGTAAGTCAGGAAAACAAGTGAGGCAAGGGGCAGCCAGGCTGACTGTTTGTGAAACCCTTCTGTTGGAAACAGGCTCCATGCCAGCTGTTCTTTTCTATGATGTTTCCCTTTCAGGTTTGAGTCCACTGTCTACCTCTTCCTCTTTTGAAGATTTTTTTTTTCCTTTGAACATTGCATTCTTGCTTTACGGGGAAGCAGAGCCATGGGAGCACCAGAAAACAAAAATGTAGCTTGAGAATCCAGTGTTCAGGCCTCTTACTTCATTTGCTTTTGGATATTCACACATATTCAAACCCCTTACAACCTCAGTCCCTGCTGGAAGCAGTGGGTTTGCCAGTTCCCAGTTTCTTTGAGTGTTAGAGGTATTGTTAGGGCATCATCTATATCTGGAAGAGAAGGCAATTACTTTGAAACCTATGTAGTAATTGGGATGTAATTTCCTTAAAAAAGATGGAAAGACATTTTTTCTTTTTTCCTTAAAAATATAGAATCCCAGCTTGATAATGCCTAAGAAAACTCGGAAACACTTGCTGAGCTGGTTGAAATAGATAATCCTTAAATAGATTCTCTATAGGCAGTTACAGAAATTTGAATCTGCATTATTGATCAGCTAACTGTTGGAAAAACATGGTGATGTACAGACATGTTACACAATCTAACCTTGTTCATTCATGCTTCAAGGCACAGCCTAAAACAAGTGCCCATGTTAGTGTTAGAAGGAGGAACTTTTTTTTTTTGTTGGGTTTTTTTTTTTTTGTTTGTTTGTTTTTTTTTGTTTAAAGTAACTTTGTCATGTCTCAGGCTGTATATCCACACCAGAAAGAGAAAAGGAAATCAAAATCTTTCTTAAGGTAATTCCCCCTCTGGAGAGCATCACACTGTGTCACTGGCCAGCCCAGACAGACCCACCTGCTGCTGCCACCTGTCCCCAGCAGCTCTCTGCATCAGGTCATCCTCCTTGTAGCAGCAAAGGTTGGGAACCTTTCCAGTCCCTGCCAGGGGCTTTTCCACACAGAGCACAAAAGGCTTTGTCCAGAGCTGTACCAAAGCCAAGTCTAGCTTTGTGTTTTCCTTTGTTTTCTCCAGTCTGACACTTTCCAGCCAGCACAGTGGAAGATGCACCATCTGAATCTGATTGTCTGTAGCCACAGCTGTGTGCTAAGATGCTTGTGTTTTCAGACATCTAATGTTAAAAAAAGACTTTACATCTTTAGTAGACTATACACCAAAAGTGTCTTTCTTTAGAATAAGTATGTATTTTGTAGCACATTTTCAGGAGTTGAAAACTGCATGGAAAATGGAAGGTACTGCAACTGCCATGAGTGGTAGGTGCAAAACAAAGATTTCCCAACAGATCAATCACAGAAGTCATGTTGGGGGAAGAGCTTAGAGCTTTGTAAAGATGAGGAGGAGAACATGGTCCTTCGTGGCCAAGCAGAGAACAATTGCCCAGCAGCTTCCTCAGTTTAAAGTTGAATCTCAGGACAGGTGTTGCTCACACAAGGCAGTGCACGAGGCAACCTGAGCAAGGCACCAGGACTGAGGCTGCTGCAAACTTCTCTGTGTAATGGAGATCTCTGGGAATTTTGCAGCAAAAACACATAGACAAGTAGTCTATGTCAAACACATGGTCAAATAAAATAAATACATCATAACTACAGAGACTCTGAGACAGCTCACTATGTTAGATCAAATCTTCTCAGGCTGCAACAAGGGAGAAGCTGGTCTCATCTCTGTTCCTTGGTACAAGCTTCAGAAGACAGAACAGTGATAACTAGTTTAAAACATGTCTGTGTGTCTGCAGAGGTGGTTTCAAATACTTTTCCCTTTGGGTGAATAATTACAAGACAGATCTAATAATCTGCTATGGTATCTTTAACAATCTAGTTCCTGTGTGTTCTGCCCTTTCAGGTAGTCCAGTTTCTTTGTAAAATTATGTATTTTAACCCTGGTCATAGACAGGGTCACACAAACAACAGATCATGGTTTTCATGTCTGAAGCATCATTTCATTACTGTTAGAATTACTATTAGAATAAACCGTGACACAAATATTACCTTATGCTGAAAAGGCCATTTGAGGAAGCTTAAAATCAAAGAAAAAAATCTAATCCTCCATGTAAACCACTGTCACTTGAATAACTAAATTGCTAAAACTGTAATGCTGATGGAAAGCCAGAGCAGAATTCAAACCAGTTTTAAATATGTGCAACTCATTCCCCCTGTTCTGCCAAGTCATCATCCAAAGAGGAACACACAGACACACAAAATGATTCATGCAGGAAATCCAGAATACTGCAGAACTCATCTCTCTGCTGTGACAAGCTCATCCTAGTATCATCTATTTTATTTCCAATGGAAATATCTTTCAAGACACTGCTTCCATGTTTTATCCAGGTTACTTGGTATGTAGTATGAGTGACATACCTTGATACAGGCAATATTTAGCAAATACAGCACAGTGTTTCCTGAAGTATGTGTTTCTGCATTACAATTCTTCAGGCTGGAGATGTCAGTGCTGCAGACACCGTTTAGACAGGAGCCAAGTTTACATCAAAGAGAAGAGGAAGAAGAAGAAGTAGAAGAAGAGGAAGAAGTAGAAGAAGAAAAAGAAGAAGAAGCAGAAAACATCTGTTTTCTGATCTCCAGAAAACAAGTACAGCTTGGTACTTCTCGGTACCTCACCATTTTTTTGCCTACCCTCCCTATTGCTACTGCAGTTGCTCTCTTCCATTCATGGCCTGAAAGTCCCCATCCCATTTTTACAGGTTTTGAGTAGAATCCTGCAAAAAGAGTAGGTCAGAGTAGTGTGTCATGAGCAACTAGGATGCTGCAGGGCTTGCTTTGGGGTACAGCAAGTCAGGGCTGCCCCCTGCTTACAAAAGCTGGTGTCTGGTTGTAAGGCATCAAAAAAACTACAGGTAATTAAGAAAATATAACTGCACCTTAAAACTGGTATTTTCCAGCATCTGTCTCTCATTGTGAAATTCAATACACATTTATGGAGAAATGACCAAGTTGCAAGGCAGAGTCTTTCTGGGGGTACTGTTCTGTGTTTTGGGTTAAAAGCTGAGGGATGGGGGAAGCACTTGCTTGGATGGGTACAGCAAAGCATCGTGGAGCTGGGCCCTGCTGCTGGCCTTCCCTCTCACCACTGGCAAAGAGGGAGCTGACACGAGTGTAGGCACAAATGCTTTATAACGGACAAAGCAACTTCCAGCAATTTCCAAGACAATGAACTTCCATTGCTTTAACAAAAGTTTGAAAATATTCTGTTCGTGTCTCAATGTGGCATGTTTTTGCAATTAAAATCTCCTTTTTTGTGAGAGTAACTTTACACTCTAGGTTAGGGATCAAAAGCATAAAAACATGGATGCACCTGAGTAAGACATAAATTAAGCAAAAGTTAACAGAAAACAAAATGGATTTTAAGTAGCATTTTAATCCACTTCTACTCCATGACTAAGTCTTTTGAAAAGTTGGCTTGACAACACAGAAGGAAAAAAAAGCACACTATTTTTAGAAACAGTACAAAGGCTTTCAAAAGGTTTTTAGAACTTTTTAATACTACTTTGGTATTCTGACAATCTTCCTCAATTGAATACTCCCTCAGCACCAAAGATCTCAGTGGTGCTCTCAGGAGAGTTCTGTGGCACTTCTCCTTCCAATAACCACCATAGTGTTGCCCACATCTTTGGGCAGATTCTCTGCCAAATCCTGTAGGTTTGCTCAGCAGGGGAGAGAGGTATGAGCAACAGGCTTGGCTTTTGTTTGTCTTAGCTTTTTGAATCATCAGAACGTCCCCTGTGTAATTTTTCCAGTGGGTTTTGGTCTCCCCACTCCTTGTCCCCTTTGGTATCTGCCTGGGCAATGCTCACTGCTACCTGTACCTGCATTATAAAATTTTATTTAAAAACTTCCTAATACTGCCAATATGGAAGTGCCTTATTTTAGGGTTTTTTTCTAAAGTGCTTTTATTTCCCCTTTTGGTCCCACAGCAACTTTTGCTGACTGTCTGTGTTAACAGTAGGGCAAAAAATGGTGGGAAAGGTCAGGAACTCCAAGAGATGGAAGGACACAGCAGTGACTCTAGTAAAAGGCTTCTTTCTGCTTCAGGCAGTGCACTGTGACTGAGCAAATGGGAAGCTGAAGATAAGTTAGAGGAGAAAAAGGAGATTACAAAAATAAAGGCTGTTTCTCCTTGGGGATGATCTCATATCTGAACAACTGAACTCTCACTTCCTCGTCCTTTTTCTTCTGCTTCTTACCGATGTTGGCACACGGAAGCCAGGAAGGAAACAACAAAACAATTTTATGGAGATAATGTTATTTGCAAATATCTGAGAATGCTAGTAGGAATCACCATTTTCCTTATTCATTAAGAGGTTTTCAAAAATATTTCCTTAGCCCAAACTAAAAATGAAGAAAATATCTGAGAAATGTTGGTTTCTTGTGGTTGTTTAAAAGTAGCAATAAGTACTCATTGCAGAGCAGTTATTTAACTAGGACTGCCTCCACACAAAGGAGATGCTTTTCAGGCTCTGCCAAAAGCAGAATGGAAGCCACTGACATAGGACAGATTGCTCAGAACTCCCTTCCTGCAGCTTGCTTTGGCTGTGTGGCTGCACCCAAGCTGGGTACCCAAGCCTCTCTGCAGGTGTGAGCAGACACAGAAGTGGGCTGTGCAGGGGGAGGGCTGAACTTCAGCATCCGTGCACAACCCAAACACACCTGCTGGTAGAACACAGCTGCTGGTAGAACAGTGCAGGAAGATCTCCTCCACACAGGCTGTGTAGCCAGGAGCTCTGCTACCTCTGGTACCACAGTCGGTCTGTGCCAGCCTTGCTGCTCCTACTGCTGGAGGGCTCTCTGCTTGCCCCAGAAATAATGAATGGTCCTCTTGAAAGTGAAACACTGAAATACATGGTATTTCTGCATACACTTGCAGGGGATTTTTAGGTAGCTTTAGCCTTCAGAGTTTGGAAGATGGAAAAAAAAATGTTATGGGAGTTAGTTTCTTGATAGCTCACACACAGGCTCATTGGGCTCTTTGTTCTCATTGTCAAGGGAAAGTAAAATACCTCTAGACTGAAAACTAAAGAATCTAGCCATCCCAATCAGGTTATGGCATGACCATAAACAGAGAGCAGTGCCTTGCCAGAGAGGTTTTCTCTGCTTTTCTGTGGACCCATGCCATTCCACAGCCGCCCAAATCCCTGCTCCCCAGAATGTTGTGATGCAAATGGCAAACATGGGCTTCCAGCTCCTCTAATTTTCAGGCAGTGGTATTAGCTGAGCTGGAAGTTTGAAATGGCAAGCCATGAGTGAAATTAGTGTATTGTGGTAGAGTGAAAGCATTCAGGCTGACTTCAAGTGCCATGCATAAGTAAGACACAATTCTCTTTCTCCTGCTTAGCAATTCGTTTTCTTTATACTCCATTTACCCTGTATTAAGTATTTATAAGAGATCACTACTTTAAATCCCCTTTGCAGTCAGCATGTGTATGTCAAGACTCATGCCCATTTGCTGAGGCTGTATAGCCAGGAAAACACACTGAGTGTAATTGCTGCTGTGAAGGTTTTCACTGAGCAGGTAAAAAGTATGTAAGTGCTTTATCAAAAGAAGCCATTTTTTCATCTGCCCACTCTTATGTATGCCCAACTCAAATTCATTTAGCTAAGAATGCTAGCATGTGCTTGAGAAATAGGTGTTAAGCTGGGGAGAACCGAGTGAATTTCATGTTTTGTAACTAGAAAATTACTTTCTGCCAATATAATAAGCCAATGTATGTGCCGTGTCTACAAGGCGCAGCGTGCAGTGTGGTACTGCACCCTGTTGGTCTGTGGTGTTATGAAAGCCCAATTGCATTCTCAGTACAATATGAGGCAATTTCTTTTATATTAAACCTTTATTTCAGGCAAGCTGGTTCCAAATGCAATGTAGGAATAAGTGGTATAAAAAATGAAACTCATCCTGGCAGAGAGAGTGTGACCTATAAAAGTGGGAAGAAAAAGTTGTGTTAGAAAAGCAGCTGCGATTGAAGTGTTCTCACTCACTAGCCAGTGCATGGAAGAAACAAAAAAATAATCAGTAAGCAAGGAGAAGGAAAGCAGATTTTCATGTTACTTATAGGGAAGAAAGAAGGATGTTTTAAATCCTTAGAAGAATGACTCAAAAGTGTGGTTCAGATGTCTACAAAAGAGTGAGTTCAGGAGAAAAACATTTTGGGAACCTGGTGCCAAAATTCAAATTCCAGAAAAGGTAATGAAGTATGTGCCTGATTCAGCCTTATTTCCTGAGTACATGGCTACTGAACTCATTTTAACTCAGTAAGATGACATCAAGGTGGCCTCCCAGCAGGGGAGGAAGAGCAGGCATCTTGGAAGGGGGCCAAGGCCAAGGACACAAGTGCCAAGGGTCTGGCAAGCTGTATATGCAGTAACAGTGTCATCATGAAGTAGACAGCAGGATTAGGGACATCACATCTTACAGATCAAGCCAGACAGAGAGGTTCAGGTGCAGATCCTTGGTTAGGACTGCACAGAAGCCTTGCCCGTGCACCCTGCTGATCATTTGGTCATATGTTCCTATGCCATTAGCAGTGTTTCATAGCTGAGCCAGGAAACAGTGCATACTCATCGGGTAGCCTTTGCCCAAGCAGCCTGCAAAACTAACTCATCCTGTTGAACCACTGACTCAGTGTTCACACAAGACTTTAACTTCACATATGTCATTGGCCTTAATAGTTCTTTCTTCATCCATTCCTACAGGTTACCTGTCTTGTGCCACCACCTTCTTGGAGGGGACTTTCCAGTGAATGCAGAGATCAGCCAGTGGTTGTCATGGCCTTGCTTGCTCCCATGCTACTGCCCATCTTCCCATGTACAGAAGCTCCCAGTCCTGCCTGGCCTTTTCTTTATCAGTCTTGGCCTGAATAACTTTCCTAAGGCTAAATAGGATAGAAATAAGCACCAAAAGAAACAGCTGGTTACAGTAGCTTCTGGACTAGCACCTTAAGGGAATGGGTTTTAGGATGTTCATTTGGTGAAATCAGAGTCTTTTAATAGTTGTTGACAGTATTATTTTATATCCCATGTATTGTAACAATATCAGAAATTATGTGGAGATAGGATTGTTTTTTTTCTCTTTAATACACAAGTTTCAGTGACTCTTTGTCTCATTACTTCCTTGGAATTTAAACTAGGATGTAGCACAAGCTGTACATGCCTGAGCATCCAAGTACCTAATTGTCACTTAAGTCCATGACTTTGCACAATCAGCTGTGACTTTCCTTGGGTGTTGCATTTCAGGTAGGGTTCCTACCAGTGTAGCTCTTCTGTAACAGAGCCAGGTGTTCCTCTCCTCACCTTTGAATGCAAAGCAGCCCTTGCACTGGGCAGCTTTACACAGTGTTTAAACCAGCCAGGAAGAGTGTTTGTGTCAGCAGCTGTGATCTGCTGATCTCCAAAGGCTGACAGAGCTCAACACATGCATATGGGCAGGAGCCATGCCTCAAAGGCTGCATGTTTAATTACTAATTTCTATGAGAAACCTCTGCATTTTCTTGCTCTCATTTTCTCTTGCACTTGTGTGTAGCCCCCAGCAGCAGACAGCTTCATCCCAGCAGCCATTTGTCACACAGTCAAAGAGAGAGTTGCCACCACAGGCAAGAGGCAAGGAGGGGAGGTGAGAGCCAAACACCCACCCCAGCTCTGGCTCCATGCACCCACCAAGAGCAACTCACTTAGGAGCACTGCAATCAACACACGAAGAAAGGCAGCGTGGTGAGAAGGCCGCAGTGCTAGAGCAGCCATCAGAACCACCCCACACAGGGGGAAGCAAAATCAGTGTGAGGTAGAGAGAGCTGTGGTGAGGGTCACATGTGCACCACAGCCACACAGGGGAGCAAGTCAGGCTGCAGCCCAGAAATAAAGCCTCTCAGGAGCCCACCTGCCCTAACAGAACTGGCTGAAAGCTGCTGGACACTACAGGGCTGGCCATGTGCTGCTACTGGAGACTTAGAGGCAGCCGGAATGGGGACAGCAGGAAAGCAGGCAGCAGGGTGGCCACAGCACACCAGTGTCTCTGGGCAGCCCCAGGGGCTGCTGAGCTCCTGCACTAGCCTGATGCAAACCTACTTCTTCACCTCTCCACGGGCAAGGTCCTTGGATTATTAGATCTGCAAAGTGACAGAAACATGGAGTCTTCCTCCCAGTCAATACCCCAGGAGCTACAGCAGGAACCATCTCCTCCCTGCCTGCACCCAGCAGGCACCAGCTGGCCTCGCAGCTGAAGGCAGAAAGCAAAAGCAGCTATCTTTGCCAGGTCCAGCCCAGAGCACCCAGCAGGATTTTCCTGTGTTGTCTCCCACGCTTTTGCAGCCCTTAGCCATGGGACTCTGCTGCCAGGCCATGCCCTCTGGGACACTGCCAGCTGTGGCACTCACCTGCCAGCCAATGCTGGGAAGGGTCAGCATACCCAGAAAGTCCCATCAGAAGTCCCCCTTGCCCACACTGAACAAAGAACACATCAGCTCCTCCCACCCTCTCTAATTAATAGTCAGACAGGACTTTACATCTTCCCATACTACAAGTTAGCTTGAGGCAGACCATTGTCACTCTGCTGGGTTCCCATGCAGGAGATGGAACTTTGCTCAGGGGCTTCCAGCTACCCTGGGACAGTTTTGGGATTCAGAGAGTGTTGATGGGTAACTTTACAAGGGCCAACACTGATAATACCTTGCAGTTAGATGGCTGAGCCCTTGGCCTTTCTTGTGTGATATCTGTATCTGCCCTCTCGCCTAACATCACAATTACTGGGTTCAAACTAAGGGTAACAGCAGGTATTCAAAGTGCACAAAAACAGAAACAAAGCTTCTGGGAAACTCCCCAGCTCTGGTTCACTTCTGCTTTAGCAGGTGGAAATAGCAATATCCTCTGTCGCCTCAGGGCTGGATTACAGGCAGAACATAATGAGTTTTGTGGATTTGAGGTTTAACATGCAAGAAGCAGCAAGACCTTCAACACAGGAATAGAAGAGTGGAAATGGTGATCCAGCATCATAGCTCTAGCCTACTACTTTTGAAAAAGAGAAATTTTAATTTTCATTTGACAAGCTACCTGAGACAGGTAAATTTGCTGAAGAGCAGTCATGAATATTGTTGTATTTCAAACCACTGAGAACAGGCCTACTCTTATCTGTTTTCAGTGTTCTTCATATATTCATCTTGATGAGATATTTAAGACTGTCTTTTCTTCCTATGTGTGCTAATCCCTGTCTTTCTGTCCCACTCGTAACATGTAAGAATATCAATTGCTTATCCTACTGTTCAAACTGAAAAGAAAGAAAATTTAATTCTAAGCTGACTCATTATTTTATGTTGTCACTCATCCCCAGTCCCTTGACAATGAGAATATCAAGGCAAAGTTTCAGCCATTTCATCTTCTTCAGACCCCCCCCCAGAGATGTTATTGTTATGAACACAGCCCTTCTTGCTTTATTATTTCACTATAACAATGCTGAAGCAGTGCAGCCAGCCAGAGGGTGACCTCCTGTGATTCGCTTGCAGATTTGCAGGGAAATCTGGAAAAACCCTGAGTTTTCAACAATTCAGGGTTTGTCTCCCTGCATTACACTCACCAGGTGCTTCCCTGGTGGTGCTAGCAGGCTTCATGTTGCAGGCAGACATTGCTAGGGACCATGCTCCAGGTTTGCTCAGGATTTGCCACTGGGATGGCTGAGAGAGACACACTGTCCCCCAGGAGTGCTGGCCCAAATTTCCATGACAACAGATTTGGAATAGAGACCTGGCATGCTGAATGACAGAAGGTCACTGCAGCAAAAAAACCCCAACCAAAACCAAACCAAAACAAAAAGGTATAGGGGGACAAAAGAGCAGCTGGGGAGGAGATCAAGGGACATATTGCAGCATGTTCACCATATTTGCAGTTCGGAGTTCATTGGCTCCATGTGCTGGGGCTTTTGAAACAGCATTTTAAGAAGCAATTGCCATACAGAAAAGACCCCATCCAAGTCCTGTGTATTTCTATCTGCTACTACTTTTATTTTTTACTGTAATAGAGAAAACAGAGAGCAAAAATATGTTTCTTGCCTTGTGGATCTTGTGATATAAAGTCAGGATGAGAGACAAGAAGTCTGGTAGGCAGACAAAAGGAGAGGGTACTGAGTCCAGTTCCTTGTAATCTATTTTTCAAAGTAAGTAATTTTTAACTCTATTTTCTAAGGAATTGATGTAATATAATTGCAGTGACTGCCTCTCCTCCTATCTGCCTTCCCACTGTGCAAAGATTCCTGAAGCTATCCTGCTATTTTTACCAAATCTGCCAAAGAAGTAGGAGTCTCAAAGATATTTAATTCCTACGAGGATCAAACAATGCAGGTGACTGGTAGAGAGGGCTGAGGAAGTGCCCCGGAGGAGGAAAGGGTAGCTCAGCCCTCCTCCACTGCAGGACACAGCACTCTGCTGTGTGAACAGCATGTGCTTGCTGGCACAAAGGGCAGCACCTGTGGAGCTCTGAACCCCACAGAGCATATGTTGTCTCTTGGGCTGCCAAAAATATAGAGGCAAGAGAGAAAGATAAAGCACCACCACCAGTGAGGAATTAGTGAAAACATGATGTACAGAAATGAGGGAAAGAGTAAGAGATACAGCAGAAATCTGGGCATGAAAGCAAGTGCAGAGATGGTGAGCAGGTGACCAGGATGTGTAGGAGGATTGTTTGAAATTATCTGTAGGAACTCTGTGCATAGAACAAACACTTAGAATTAACTCTTGTGTGTTGATGAAACTACATGCCTGGGAAAAGTGCTGGGTTGGAAAACACGGCAACCCCAGTCCCTTTAGATGGAAGAGAGGTATAACAGTCAACAGCAAAACATTTGCCCCATTAGTACAAAATACCTTCAGTGAAGGGTGAGCCTGTTGCTCACAGAGCCTATCTCCTGTTTCCATCCAGGGGTCAATGCTAGAATTACTGAGCAGTGCAAGGGCAGTGGAAACATTTTGAAATGTGCTCTGTCTCTCACTTGCAGAGCCACTACACTTGTATATATGTGCTTCCAGCATTCCTTCTCTTCCACATGCACACACAGAACTCACTGAAATGTTTTGTTCAATGCTGTGATCCACCTGCAAATGCTCCCAGACATCTGCCTCTGACAAAGATAAGGGGTGTTTTCCCATGAGTACGTCTGCCATTTATAGTGGTTATGATAAAACAAATACATTATAAATATCTTATATTTTCTGTGCAACTTCATTCTCGCCTGGTCCTTGAGAAAGCAATAAATCTCATGTTCACTGGTGTAAGCAGCCTTGAACCACACCAGACACCCACCCATCACCATGGCTATCACAATGCATTTCCTGTGCAATCCCTACTCATCCCGTGCCTCCCCATGAAATCTTCATTAGGTAACACTTGTCACTAATGTGTGCTAATTCTTTTTCTTGCCCACACCTTCTTGTAGTGACACATGAACTAGGAAGGCCATAAGTAGAGCAAAGAGAAGTGCATCCTTGGTTACCTTATTCTGAATAGCAGTGATAGCATATACAAAGTCAAATTCTGATCATGGTTATTCTTGAGCAGTTTCATAAGAGCCAGTTGTATTTCACATGGCAATTGATAGCTGGATTAAAAATAGAGATTTTCAGGTAAAAATTACTTCATTCACTGCATGGGGTAGGGGTTTCTAGAAAACATTTTATCAAGGAATTTTACTTTACTCCACAATGCAAAGAAAATAGCTCAGCTAAAGGGTTCAGTTTTCTGAGGTTTACCTTCATTTACAGATGAAAATATGCATTGAGCATAAATGACTATGCTCCAGAGAGTGTTGTGCACTGACAAAACTTTTTTTGACCCCAAAATAACTTTGTCTGATCATATGGAAACCATTCTTAACTCCAGAAACCTGGATGCCATATTGGCAGGCTGCCAGCCAGGGTAAATCAAAGATATTCTGTTCTTGGAGTGGGAAAGGTACATGGTTCACAGAAGCTCTTAGGGAAAAAAAAAAAAAAAAGGTGTCTTGGCCAAGAGGAACTTGGCAGAGCAGTATTTTAGCTTTGCTGAGGGACTGTGTATGCCCATTGAAGCAGTAACATCTGTGGAGGAAGGGCAGAGAATGGGGATACAGTGCA